ATCCATCAAACTCGATTAATTAAAATTTGACACAAAGTAGTACCATTAGTTTTTTTCAGGCTCAGCGATGAAAAGAGTTTGTCAGATCGGTGATCAGATTTACTTAGAGACAAGCGGCTCCTGGGACGGGTCTTGCTCTCATGCTCACTAATGATCCGATTGTCCTGTAAATCTGTGTATTTTAATGATTAGTTATCTTATTTGATTGAAGGGCTTCTTAAAGGACTGCATATAGAAAACATTCAGAGCTCTATAATTTCTGGATCCTGTCTGATTTTTGATCGCACACCAACAGATTTATTTCTGCCTGCTCTGAGGAAACTTTCCAGCAGAATAATCTGAGCGACTCGGTTCTGTCAGATTAATAGTTAGTCTGGAAACGGACCCAGCCGCCCGGCGGTGGCAAGCAGTTACAGCAGCTGCCCACCGGGGGCGCTGCAGCCACAGGAGAGACAGAGAGCCGTCAGTATGTTACCCTGAACATGACGAGGCGCCACAGAGACAGGAAGCAGCATCACTTCCTGTCTCTGAGTAGCTGGACGCCCCGGTTGCCATGGAAACGGCTAACAGAGGGTAGCCATTCTGCATAAGAACTGGAAATGTTTTCTGGCTCTGATTCTGCTCCTGGTCAACAAGGTCCAGAACCAGAACCCGCCTGACGCTCCTCTGAGAGGCAGAAGGTCAAAAGGTCACCAATGAACACATGAACTATCATCATGAGTCTCAAGCCGCTGTCAGTTTCTGGACTCTGCAGTTTGTTCTCCTTCATCTCTGGAAACACCGACCCGTTTGGATCCAGTCAGAGACCAGAACCGCTCCTCCGTGAATCCTGACGGTTTGGCGTTTTACAGATGTAGAGCTTCCAGAGCCGCTCTGATCACTGACGGCTCATCAGGTCCTGAACTACCTGCAGCCTGGAGGTCTGGGACTTTATCTGGAGTTTTCCACTTTCTGTTACAGCTGAGGTTCATGATGGGAAAAGGATTCATTGGTTCATTAAACGGAAATGAATCAGCGTCTGGTTTTCTTTGGTCCAGGAAGCAACTAGAGCCGAAGGTTTCAGGGAGTTTATCTGGCGACCAGGCAGACTGACCGTCGGCTCCAGTCAAAGTTTCTTCTCCCCGTCTTTCACCAAACTTTACAGTTTCATCTGTGAAGCTGTGAACTCACTGCCAGCGATGAAAACATGAATCTGCAGGTGGTTTAATCTGGACCGACGTCTGGGAAACTAAAGAATCGACTCCTAGAAAAACTTTCTGGATGGTTTCATCCTGGTTTCTGATTCCCTGCTGCTCAGGATTTATCTATTGGTAGAAAAACAAACTTTATTCTGTCACAGCTACTTTGTAAAATAAGTTTAATAAATATGTAAAAAGAAAAAAAACTAGTCTGAACAACAACAGATCCTGAAAAAGCAACAGGAAGTGATGTAACAGCTTCACCATGCGGCTCTCAGCCTTTTCTTACTTTCACTTTTCTCTCTGCTGTCAGATTCTCCTCTGGATTGAACCTGCAGATCGTCTGCAGCTCTGGGATCTACTGATCATCCTGGTGGAACATCTGGAGCTTCGTTCAGGTAAAACCTGTCAGCCGCATGCACAGGTTTCTCTGTTTCTGGAGTTTTTCTGGGTTCAGCTGCTGATTCTCCAGAAAGGTGGATCTTTTACATGATCTGGTATTTTGGGCTCTTTTTCTGTTGTTCTTGGTTTTAGTCATGATTATTGCTCCATAAAAGCTTCAGCTGATCTGTTTCATGTTAGGATGTTTTCACCGTATCGCGGTTGGTTTTATAGACGCTCATTAAAACTCACAGCAGTAACGAATGAAAACATGAGATTTATTCATAACTCAGAGTCAGCGCTCATCATCTGTCAGCCAATCAGAGGAGACAGCAGGGTCTGACTCAGGTGACAAGCCCCGCCCACCTGTGTTGTTGTGCAACACTCCCCCCTTCTCTCCCTACTTCCCCTTGTGACAGGGTGAGATCTGCCCCAGCTCTCCGTCTAACGGGTGAAATGAGTTTCCTGTCCAGAACTGAAGGAAACTCTGAGGCTGGTCTGGTTCCTGACGACCTGCTTTCAGATGTTCACATGCAGCGTTTAGGGGAAATGTAGTCGGAAACAACCTGAATCTGCTCTTAATATTTTACTAATACATATTTATATAATATTAAATATAAGCCTGAATTTCTTAAGTGTTTCTTCCTGATTTCTTTCATCAGAGTCGTTTCCTTTTCCTGTCGAAGGTTTTTGTTTCCATTAATTATGAGATTCTGCAGTGAAATCTGAGTATTTTTCTCTGATCGGTTCACTGATGCTGCTGGTGTTCCTCTGGGCCAAACACTCTGGGCCGGGCCGGTTCTGACCCAAACAGAACCGAACCTTCATGCGAAGCTGCTGCTGCTGCTTTCACACATTTTGCATGAAACCACATCCTGTTTGCAGAAACTCAACGGTCGGCCGTCCAAAACGTTCCCGTTTCACTTTCTGTCTGACTAAACAAGTTCAGACGAAGCAGCTGCTGGAAAATTAACTTTAGAAGTTCAGGTTTATAGAAGTTTAGGTTAGTAGAAGTTTAGGTTAGTAGAAGTTCAGGTTTATAGAAGTTCAGGTTTATAGAAGTTCAGGTTAGTAGAAGTTCAGGTTTATAGAAGTTTAGGTTAGTAGAAGTTCAGGTTTGTAAAAGTTCAGGTTTATAGAAGTTCAGGTTTATAGAAGTTCAGGTTTGTAAAAGTTCAGGTTTATAGAAGTTCAGGTTTATAGAAACGGATCCTGTTTGTCTTTAAATGTTTCCTGGAGCTTTTAAACTAAAAGACGTTGGATTCTCCCAACCTCAGGATCATCGCTGCCGTTTGTTTCATTTTAGTATTCGTAAACAATCCTTCTTTGTTGGTGGATGATGATAAACTGACATGTAAATATTTCCGCAGCAGCAGCTTTAGTTTTTCGTTGGCGGCCATGTTTCGGCTCCGATCGCCTCCATGCTTCATGCTGGATGTTTCTGACCTCCAGCAGCAGAGATGCAGACGGTCGTCACCAACCTGGCGCTGCAGAAGCTGCAGTCCTACTTCGCCATCGTGGTGATCTTCACCTACAGCATTCTGCTCAGGAGCGACTTTGAATGCAGCTGCAAGCGCCAGCTGTACTACTGCATCATCTACGCCGTCACACCTGGTCTCATAGCAACCGTCCTGATGCTGTGGTCCAACCGGCTGTTCCAGAGGACCTGCAGCTACCGCTCCAGGTTCAAGAGCTTCATCTGCCGCCAGGTGTTGAAGGCGGCTCTGGTCGGCCTCCTCTGGGTGGCGTTTCTCCTCATCGACGGCGACTGGTGGGCCTGTTGCTTCAACAAACTCTCTGAGCAGCAGGCGGGTCTGCCCTGCAAGGCCGCAGCCAAGCGGAGCGACGAGGAGAGAGAAACCATGGCTGCCATCAAAACCACGTCCAGGGTGAGTCACGTCTGCCCCGGCCAGCAGGGGGAGCAGCTCCAGGTAACAGCCTGTCTCTGCTGCAGGTGAGCGGCTGCTGGCTGCTCTTCCTCATCGTTTTCTCCGGAGCCATGAGTTCCTGGACCCGATGGAGGAGCAGCTGCAGCAAAGGAGCGACTCAGTACGAAGAAACGCTTTACTACAAGCTGGTTCTGGAGGAGGAGGAGGCGGTTCTGAAGGAGGTTCTGAGGGAGTCCATCAGAACCAAGCTGACCCAGCAGATCCGGACCAAATGTGAGGACAACTGGAAGGAATGCTTCAACGTGGCTGAAGAGGTCATGAAGAACCAGAGAAAGCAACCAGAGCAGAAGGTGACCAGTCAGTTCATGAAACGTTTATTAAAATATGAAGCAAATTCAGGTTTTTATGAACAAACAATCCAACGTTTAAAATTCAGTCGGCAAAGAAAAGATTCAGATGAAGCAGATTTAACTGGAACGTCTAATTTTTACTGTTTAAAGTTGAAAACTTTCATTTGGTTTTGATTCGTTTTCCTGATTTTATTTAAACTGAAAGGAAATGACTCGAACCAGAACCGGACCAGAACCAGAACTGAACCGGACCAGAACCAAAACAGAACCAGAACTGAACCAGAACCAGAACCAAAACTGGACCAGAACCAACACCAAACCAGAACCAGAACCGGACCAGAACCAGAACCGGACCAGAACCAATACTGAACCAGAACCAAAACCGAACCAGAACCGAACCAGAACCAAAACTGAACCTGAACCAGAACCAAAACTGAACCAGAACCAAAACCGAACCAGAACCGAACCAGAACCAAAACTGAACCAGAACCAGAACCGAACCAGAACCAAAACTGAACCAGAACGATTCCTGAACTAAATGTTTCCATGGCATGTAGTTCAGGAATCATTTTGGTTCGGTCCGGTTTGATTCTGGTCCGGTTCTGGTTCTGGTTCTGGTGAGAACAACGATGAAACCAGAATGAGAAACTGTCTGGAACCAGAACCGGACCAGAACCAAAGTTTATCAAGTAGAGCAGGAAGTGATCCGACATCAAAATGTTCCGAGAGCGAGGAGCCATGATGTGTTTAGCGAAGGTTCAAAGGTCAGACAGACGCTAGTTTAGCTTAGCATCTGTTAGCAGCAGGAAGTGATGCGTCTGTCAGGAAAAAAAAGAGTTAAAATGTGTTCAAAGATTTCATCTGAAATGTTTCTGATTTTTTCAGGACAAAAACGTTGAACTGGATGAAATACCAGAGGTAAATCCATCGGCTTCACGCATCACAGGATATTCTTTCATTCTGAAATAAAAACATTTTTATTTTATCTAGAGTTTAAATAGGCTGCAATGACCTGGAGGTGAAAGAAGGAAGTTCAGCAAATAACTGACATCATAACCTGTGACATCATAACCTGTGACATCACAGGAAATAAATCTGTCTCTGTTTCCTGATGTTTCTTATAAATTTTCTGTTTTCATTTTTCAGGAAGCGTCGCGTTTGGTGGATAAAGAGAAAAACACGAAACCCTGATCAAGTTAAACTTCGACTCCAGTTCATTTCTATGCTTCATTTTTATTTTACTGATCTTGGCTCTTAAATAAAAATATTTTTCTGTTCCTTTCTCTTTTACTGGATCAATTTTGTTTCTGTTTTATTTTAGTTCAACTCTTTAGTTACTTTAGTTTTATTGTTTCTCATGTTTAGTTATTTGTTTGATTTTTACTCTTGTATCATTTTTCTCTCCTGGTTTCTAATCATCTGTTTCTTCTTCACTGATCGACTCAGTAAATATAAACTTTTTCTCAGTTCCTCTCTGTAACTCTCCTTATTTTCTGTTTCCTACTGAAATCATTTCAATAACCAGAGGAAGCATCATGCTGAGGGACGCTGTCCATGTGAGGACAGATCTGTGTCCCTCTGAGCGTCCTGCAGCAGGTCAAACGTTTCTTCAACATGTGGAAACACAGCCTGAGGTCAAAGGTCACAGAGTCAATGGGTTGAGCCGCTCCATCCTGTGACTTTATAGAAAATGATCTAAATAAATATTTAAAGCTCCAGCTGCTGCAGAATTACTTATAAACTCTTCAATAACCTGGAGGTCAAAGGTCACCCTGACATGACGGTTAACATCAACGAGCAGCCTTCAGGATCACATGAATGACCTATGCCAAGAGAGCCATGTCTTAGTTCAGGCTTTAACTAGGACATGTGGCCAGAAAAGACCAAACAAAATTGTTCGTTATTACGCAATAGCCAGCCCCGCCCTTATCTCACCAATGGCTCGACTGACTACTGACCAGTTCTCTATCTAA